TTGTGATGGTTATTTTATACTCTCTGACCCAGTTGTTCATTTCCACTAGGGGTCACCAAAGCTTTACGGGGTGTTACGAGGTCTTCTTGATGTTAAGGCATGTAAGAAAACTTGTAGTGCAAAGTTAAGTGTACAGTTTTGAATATAATATTAAATATCCATAAAATATGTCACTTGATGATAGAAAAAGGGTCCTTTAAGGAAAAAGGCTCTAACCATTCAGATAAACAGACCGAGGCCTGTCTGTCACTCATACGTCTTTCTCTCACTCCTACTAAAGACATAAATAATAAACAACGGGTCATATTTTATAATAAAAAAAGTTCTTAGTTTTTAAAGAACATTACTGAAACAGGAGAAAATAGTGGATTAATACACATGGTGTGATAGTGAATATTTCCAGCAGCAGAAATATGGTGCATGTATTTAGTATTTGTGTTAATTTAAATTGATTGATTGATTGATTGATTAAAATGTGTAACAAAAAGTGCAACAGTGCAACTCACTGACAGTTTTGGACAACAATGGATCTCTTTAGCTCAGAGGAATAATATGCATCAACTGAGATCATTTAATTCAATTCAATTCAATTAAATTTTATTTGTATAGCGCCAATTCATAACAGAAGTTATCTCAGGACACTTTTCAAATAGAGCAGGTCTAGACCGAACTCTTTAAAACATTATTTACAGAGACCCAACAGTACCACCATGAGCAAGCACTTGGCGACAAGGGCAAGGAAAAACTGCCTGTTAAAAGGCAGAAACCTAGGACAGATCCTTCAGTCTCTGGGGTAGAGAGAGAGAGAGAGAGAGAGAGAGAGAGAGAGAGAGAGAGACAGACAGACAGACAGACAGACAGACAGACAGACAGACAGGTGCACAGCAACAACAGTATTGGTAATGGCAATCTAGCAGGACCATGGCAGGAGGCTCCACCAGGATCGATAAGAACCTGCGAGACGAGAAAGCACAAGAACTCCGGGGAAGAAGTGAAGTTAGTAACATGCATTAATGGAACATGAATGAGTGCAGAAAGAGAGAGGAAGAGAGGAGCTCAGTGCACCATGGGAAATCCCCCGATAGTCTAGGCCTATAGCAGCATAACTAAGGGATGGTTCAGGACTCACCTGATCCAGCCCTAACTATAAGCTTTATCAAAGAGGAACGTCTTAAGCCTACTCTTGAATGTGGAGAGGGTGTCTGCCTCCCGAACCACATCTGGAAGCTGGTTCCACAGGAGAGGAGCTTGGTAACTGAAGGCTCTGGCTCCTGTTCTACTTTTAGAGACTATAGGAACCACAAGTAGCCCTGCATTCAGAGAACGTAGTGTTCTAGAGGGGTAATAGGGTACTATGAGCTCTTTAAGTTATGAAGGGGCCTGACCATGAAGAGCTTTATAGGTGAGGAGGAGGATTTTAAATTCTATTCTACATTTTACAGGGAGCCAGTGCAGAGAAGCTAGTACAGGAGAGATGTGATCTCTTTTTCTAGTTCCTGTCAGTACTCGTGCTGCAGCGTTTTGAATTCATTTGAGCATCTTAATGGACTTATTGGGGCAACCTGATAATAAAGAGTTGCAGTCTAGAAGTAACAAATGCATGGATTAGTTTTTCTGCATCTGTCTATGATAGTATGTGTCTAATTTTTGTAATATTACGTAAATGAAAGAAGGCAGTCCTAGAGGTCTGCTTCATGTGGGAGTTAAATGACAAATCCTGATCAAAGATAACTCCAAGATTCCTGACAGTGGTGCTAGAGGCCAAGGTAATGCCATCTAGAGTAACTATATCTTTAGACAGTGAGTCTCTAAGGTTTTTGGGGCCAAGTACAAAAATTTCATTTTTTTCTGAGTTTAACATCAGAAAATTGCAGCTCATCCAGGATTTTATGTCCTTAAGACATGTTTGTAATTTAGATAATTGATTAAATTACTTATCTTCTTTAGTCAAACTTGAGTCATTGAGTTTTAGAAACAAATATTCTATTCTAAATAAATTGTTGAGTGGGTTGTCTTTATTACATGCGAGAAAAGAAATGTTTTGAGAGAAAAAAAAATATTTGAGAGAAAAAGTTTTCATACCAATAGCAAAAAATAATAATATTTGAGACTAAAAAAAGTTTTGAGAGAAAGTATTTTCTCATAGAACATAATAGAATAGAATAGGACAGCCAATTTAATGTTTAATCTTCAGTGATGTTAGCTAAGCTGAACTCCACATTACTAACCAGTTAAACACCCTTTAATACCTCTGATCTGTTACTCTCTAACCAGTTAAACATCCTTTAATACCTCTGATCTGTTACTCTCTAACCAGTTAAACATCCTTTAATACCTCTGATCTGTTACTCTCTAACCAGTTAAACACCCTTTAATACCTCTGATCTGTTACTCTCTAACCTGTTAGGGCTAGACTGTCATTCCTATGATGGGAATGATTTTGATTACCAACTTGCTCAGCTATCTACCCATCGAGTTGTGTGTGTCATCATCTTACCCAAACATTGGAGTCTCTGCGCTCAACTAAGGCAGCGCATCTATGCCGGTGAATCGACAATGGTGTAATGATTCAGTTCGACTCCCAAGACGATTCTCACCCGACTGGCCAATAGGAACGTGGCCCCACCCATGACATTATTTTCACAGCGAGAGCAAAATCCTGAAACGAGAGCAAGAAACTGCATCGAGAGCAAAGACTTTTGAGAGAGAGAAGAAAAACGTTTCGAGAGAAACACATTTTTTTTGAGAGAAAATGTTTTCACACTGATAGCAAAAAAAGATATATTTGAGAGTTAAAAAAAGTATTTTGAGAGAGATTTTTTTTCCTCAGAAATAATTTTTCAAATTTCAAATTTATATTTTTTTATGTTCTATGAGAAAAATCTCAAAACTTTTTTTAGTCTCAAATATTATTATTTTTTCCTATTGGTATGAAAACTTTTTCTCTCAAATATTTTTTTTTCTCTCATAAAATGCTTTTTTGCTATCGGTGTGATAACTTTTTCTCTCAAACATTTTTTTTTTCTCAGATCATTTATTTTCTCGAATGTAATAAAGACACAAATCTAACTCCATAGTTCACAGCTCATGTTTAAAATCACAGTAAGTAAAAAAAAAGTAAAAAACAATTTCAAAAAAAGATTTCAGCTAACTTAAAAATGTATTTCAAAAATTAAAAGTTAGAGTTTGACCTAAAACTTATAATATTTAGTGAAGACAGATACCTTAGATAACAGTAGAAACAACTACACTAATAGTAGTGACTGATTTTGATGATGATGATGAACATGAAGAAGATGATGACGACAACGACAACAACGATGGGGAACAATGAGCAGTGATTAAAGTAATAATAGTAACTGTAGTAATAAGAATAATATTAATAATAATAATAACACTAATATCAGTGATATTAGCTATGGCAGTCAAGCAGGACCATGGCAGGAGGCTCCACCAGGATCCATGAAAACCTGTGAGATGAGAAAGCACAAGAACTCTGGGGAAGAAGTGAAGTTAGTAACATGCATTAATGGGACATGAATGAGTGCAGAAAGAGAGAGGAAGAGAGAAGCTCAGTGCATCATGGGAAATCCCCCGATAGTCTAGGCCTATAGCAGCATAACTAAGGGATGGTTCAGGACTCACCTGATCCAGCCCTAACTATAAGCTTTATCAAAGAGGAATGTCTTAAGCCTACTCTTAAATATGGAGAGGGTGTCTGCCTCCCGAACCACAACTGGAAGCTGGTTCCACAGGAGAGGAGCTTGGTAACTGAAGGCTCTGGCTCCTGTTCTACTTTTAGAGACTATAGGAATCACAAGTAGCCCTGCATTAAGAGAATGTAGTGTTCAGATACAGGTTCCTTTTGTCCGGTTTCTGCTGGTTGCTGCTGGGCAGGTGGTATAAAGGGGGTTTATCAGAGGCTTTTTGCCTAAAACAGCTGCCTTGTGTGACTGAAAACAATGCTGATGATGAGAACGGTGAGACAGAAGCCAAACAGTGGAACTGTTGGCAAAACAATGAGCTGAAAGACACTGAAATGCTCTGTAGACCTGCAGAGTAGGGTGATAAATCTCTGCAGGGTTGTCACGACAAGAAGCCCTTTTCACGTCACACAACATCATTTGATTCGCAACTAATATAAAGACATTGATTGTAGCAGCTTTTACAAGCAAAACTTATAGTCAACTATAAGGGGAGATATGGTGTCGGATTGGATGTGCAAAAATGAATTAATAGAAATATCAGTCAGTTGTGGAAAAACATACCCAGACAAAAAATATCGATAGCTTGGAATGCAGGGCCACGACTCCGCTTAAACAGTTTATTTCCTAATGATTAAATGATTAACTAGGCTAATTGAACTAGGAAATGAGTGAGTTGCTCCAAGGACAAGCAGAGTTGCGCAGCTAGCAGGAAGACTGCTGAGTTCATCATTTGTGTGCTGCCACGCTCGGGCAGGTGGCAGGACTAGACGGCCCCAACCACGGGGCCAAAAACCTTAAGACAGATGTGAAAACAGAGAGAGGAGAGTGTGGCTGAAACACAGAGGAAGTGTGAGAGAGAGAAAGAGACATTCCACACAGCACCAGAGGTCAATGAGAGTTAATTTTCCTGCTGTCCTATCCGCTGGCTTCATTAGCAGTATTGGCAGTTGGGTGATGAATTCATTGTTTTCTCAGGTTTGTCTGCAACCATCGTTTATATGTGCTCCACTGTTATCTCTCAGGGCCCAACTCCCTGTTTCTGCTCATCTTTTTCATCCCCACATTGCTTTTCCTTTCTCTGTTTCTCCTTCTCCTACTCTTCTCTGCCTTTTTTCCTTCCTAAATCCATCCTTTTTTTGCATATTCTTGCTGCTTCTATGCGCTCTTTAAGGGCAATGTCTCCTCCAATAATCAATGACGGTATGTGTTTGCGACGTACAGCGAGTGCTTATTTGATGTGCTTGGGCAACCTCTTTTCTTATCACTTCTTCCTTCTCGTTCTGTCTCTTTCAGGTCCTCCTCATCCACTCTCACTCACCTTTCGGGACCAGACTCAGACTAAAATGCTTTGCTAAAGCTGGTAAAATGGAACCAAATCAACTGTTCAATGGATTTGGTCCCCTTCAACCAGCTGTAGCTGTGCATTGATCACTCCGAACACACACGCAGCCACAGAGGTGAAGGAAAGGATAATTCAGATGAAAACTGCTTTAACATGTAGAACTGAAGCTACGTTAGCTTCTCCACAGAAACCAGTGGACTGAGACACAGCATGCTCCAGTTACTGCATGGATTTATCTCCATCACACACATTATCAGAAAGACATTGAAGTTATTTGCAAAATCTGAATAAAACAAGTCAGGTAAGAAATGACAGATACTGTACCTTTGAGTGAATTTGTATTTTTGTTGTGTACCGCTATAATTGCATTATCCTTTGGAGACTTTTTTATTGTTCTTTGCAGATTATTTGAGGAGTGTGTTTGGTCCATGAATTGCTGTTGTGTGTGTGTGTGTGTGTGTGTGTGTGTGTGTGTGTGTGTGTGTGTGTGTGTGTGTGTGTGTAAAAGGGTGGTACAAGTGTAAGAACAGTCACTGTCTAAGAAAAGCAGTAGTGCGTATTAGTGCACATGTATGTATGTGTGTGACTCCTAATGCACGTCTGATCAATAAAGCCTCGTCCTGAAGTTCACATAAACTGCTGAAGTGGTCTTTGCTTTGATGTGTGGTCTTACTGGGGGAGGTGGGGTGGGGGTGGAATGGAAGGAAGTACACACTAAAAATCACTTGGTTAAAATTTTTGGGTCAATATAGAATTGATGCACTAATGGGTTGTGTTGGCCCACTGTTTGGACTCTGTTATACCTGCTTGCAAGTCTATTTTTTTACATTATCTTTTGGGTTATTTACTCAATTAAAATATGGTCATTTGGACAGATTAAGTTCAAGTTTGCTCAAGAGATGTGCAAGTCCACCACAGTGCATACACTGCAACAATTAATGAGTCCTTATATCCACAAAAAACTGCAAAATGCTCTGTTTGAGAGAACTGTTGGCCAACAAAACTAAACCCAAGGAGGCCTCTTCAGCTTAGTGATTATTAGACATCTCTGGAGTTACATCCCGTAGTAGAAATGCTGACTTTTTGGCTCATTGGCAAGCTAAGCGATCACTCTCAGAATGGACTGGGCCTCATCCACTGGTAAGTAAGTAACACCAGATCTGGTTTAAAATGCTGTCAATACTGGTACTCCAGTGCGGGAAATCCACCACAGACTCCAAATTTAAAAACTGTATACTGCAAGAATAGAGAGATTTACCTGGCGGTCATAGGCTTTATCAGCAGTGTGTAAAGTCATTTGGCAGCACTCCAGTCGTCCAGTCATGACTAGATTCCACTACACTGCTATCCTAAGTACACAAGAATGACATAGTAGAATTTTACACTGTAACTTCCTTTGCACAAACTCCTCTCTCAGGTACAATGCTCTGGAATTACTTACCTGACAGCTCAAAGCAGATTCAGGATTTTAAAAGGTTGTCAAGTCTTAGTTAAAACTTTTCTACAACCGTACCCCTCACCTTCAAAGCGGACGAAGAAAAACTACATGGCTGCAAAACATGCGAATGCATTTGTTTAGCCCATGTCCCGTCTGCTAACATGGAGGCATAGTTTTATGACCTCTACTACAGTCAGCCAGCAGGGGGCGATTGAGATGTGTTGGCTTTGCTTTTGGAGAACTGTCATGACGATGGTTGCTCCTGAACGTTACACACTGAACCTTTAGCTCATGCAATAAATACATTTTTGTTTTGTTTCATTTGTCTGTATCGTATGCACTGATATTGAGATTTTAAACTGTACATGTAATCCTACTGGTTGCCTGAACTATCGATGCCCATCAAGGGACTGGTTGTGGAAATTAGCGTTGGCTATATATACTGCTTCTGCAACTGGCAATGCTTCTTTGTACTTGTCCCTTACAAATAAACTAATTAAAGTAAACAACAAATAATAACTATCAGAAATAGTTACTACCTTCCTTTTCTCCCTCCCTCATCTCACTCTTCCCTGCCTCCGCCCCCAGCTTCTGTATTGTCCACTGTGCGTGGCTCTGGACGTGTGACAGATGTTTTAATGTGGCTGCGATTCCTTATCACCACTCAGCTGAAAGCTCTATTTGCCTTGGTCCGCTGTGATAGATGGGAGGCCGAGGCTGAGCGGAGAGGAGACGCTATGCTAACGAATGGGAGAGGAGGCATTTCAGAGGCTGAGGAGGTGGAAGGAGGAGGGGGGACACGATGAAGATGACACATACTGCTGGAAATGGTAGATGTGGTCATTTTCTGTTTTTCATGTCCCGGGTGTGATGAGCAAGTGAGTAATTATAGGACGGGAGGGATGTGTATGCAATTACACTGGGATGAAACAGTGCTTGTCAAGACTGGGAGCGGCGCTGCAGAAATTGAGAAATCAAGCAGAACATACACGTTACAAATAAACTCACAAATAAACAAACAAACCGACAGCGATTTTGATTAAACCTCGGTGTGTTTACAACCCGTTAAATCAGTGGGATTATTAAAAGTCAGTGGCATTACATCTTCTCAGTGTTTCAAAGCAAGTGAAGAGGAAGAAAAACCAGAAAAGGGCAGAAGTGATTCATCAAGGCATCATACCTAAACCTGTGAACCAGGGGTGCATTACACAAACACACTGTAAAGTTCTCTAATATGCATGTAAGTCAAAGAACACGCCTTCTCTAAGATGCTGGAAAAATCTTTTATAGAAGGATATGATTCTGCACAAAATATATCTTACAATATGAACAGGAATATGGTTTTAGAACTGGTAGAAATACATCACTTGTTATAATGGAATGCAATAATAAATAAATAATAATGATTATACACTGGCAGTATTTCTTCTAATAAAAGCATTTAATACTTTGACTATGGCTTACTAGTTAAAAATATATATATATTTTAAAATTATTAAGATATCCAGATTGAAAGTTACTTGTGGGGTTCCTCAAGGCTCAGTGTTAGGCATATGTAAGGTTTCCAAAACATTCAAATGTATTTTATTTGGAATATTTGGGGAAAGAGTTGAAGCTTCTAAAAAAGTAGGTTTGATTTGAACAAAACTCTTATTTTAAGCAAGTTAAGATTCATCATCTTTGGCAATCACGTAAAACAAATTTTTAAAGCAAAGTTATAATAAGTTATGGAAGCATATTGCAGCCACATCAGAAAAATAAAAGCAGATCAGTATCATGTTATAACATAATTTTCCTGCACAGTTGCAACTTAAAGGTCCACCACATTAAGGTTGACCATATTCATCAAAAACATAAACACACCTATCTACAGCCATTGTTTGGTTTGCTTGGTTACCGTGGTAACATGGCTGGTTAACATGGTGCCCTTCATGTAAGCGACCTGTAACGGCATAAAAAAAAGGCAAAAGGTAAAAAACAACAATACTTGATCGTGATTATACACTAATGAAAACATAGTTATGAATATTATATTCCATTTCTGACAATAGATCTACCTAAATGTTACACACTGGACCTTTAAGCCTTGAATATTAATGTTTAGAATAGAAACATTTATAATATTCTCTCCAATGACAGAAGGTCTTATCAGACAACATATCACATGACTTTATATGCAGGACATGAGCAGGTCACCTTTACGCTGAATTCTATTAGGTAAAACGGACCTATGCTTGACATGAGAGACTATCCAGTCACTGTAGAGCACACCAGCCCGTCATGGCATATGATAACGCTGCCCTTTTCTGTGCATCGATTTATTTATCAGCCCGCCGACATTGGAGAGCAAGGAGCCATGTGCCAAGTCACATAAAACAATGGGAGACATTTTAATATAGAAATTGAAATGGAGGTTAGAGGGATCAAAAAAGGAGGTGGTACTTTTGCAAAGTGGTGTGTGAGTGAGTGCATACAGCTGTGAACGTACAGTAGCCCTGTGTGTGTGTGTGTGTGCTGTGTGTGTGTGTGTCTGTCTGTGTGTGTCTGTGTAACAACATGGTGCCAGGCCTCATCATTCACGCTGTATTGATGTTTGACCACATTCATCAGTACTGGCTGACATGGCTTTTTAAAGAATGGAGGGCTCCTTTTCTCAACTTTCGCTTCTGACTCCTCTTTTTCTCTCCTTCTGTCATCTCCCTCTCTCCTCCGTCTGTCTCCTGACTTTGAGCTTTTTATCTTTCATCCTTTCTTCTTTTCTTCATCATTCTTCACTCCCACTTTACTCCATCCAGTGCATCATATGCTTTTCTTTCCTGACTCACTTATATCCCAAGGCAAAAGCACTGAACTATGTAGAAGGTGGTCACTAACTCTTTGAGGTTAAACACTTTAACGCAGTATTGCAGTGAATTATGGTTGCATATCGAGAAACGGAACAGACCAACTTTCACACTGCCTTTCAGCAAGGATGTGTGAAATTTTCGGCGTAGCAAATAAGCAAAATGTTTTATAAGTAAGCTTTATGAGAATAGGCAAATTATATTATATATATGTTTGTATTGTCACACCTTAAGTTAACTAGCAAAATGTTAGCTTGCTAGTTACGTCTTACAGTTAATGTTAGCAAAATCTAACTGATATCATTATACGTATGTCCAGTTACTGATTATCAATTAATCGAAGCAAACATTTTATTTTCTCAATTAAAGGACCAGTGTGTAGGGTTTATTGGCATCTAGTGGTGAAGTTGTATTTGACACAATTACAATTCTTATTGTCAGATGATTATACACTAATGAAAACATACCTATGATTATTATATTCCATTTCCAGTAGATGCTCCTAAATGTTACACACTGGAGATTTAACAGTTAACTACTAAAACAACATTTTAAAATGCAAAGTACCAACGATAATGTTACTTTTATATTTATTCAAAGTTTTAATTTTATTATACTCGCATCTATGCCTAAATAAATAAGCTTCATGCAGAAAGATGATACTAACGTGCAGCCCTGGTTGGATGATCTCTGTGCCCCCTTGGTAGGAAGCCTCCTAGTAGACAGAGCTCAGGAAGATTTATAGAATGCACTGTACACAATGTCCAATCATCAAATGCCTTCACATCCACCTTAGCTTTGCAAGTAAAAAGCTGATCTGAATAAGGAGCGGGACTTCCTCTGCTATGCTCTGATGGAGCATCTGTCTAAATTGTTTATCGGCCTTATTTCCCCATTTCTCAGGGGGGAAGAAGAGCAGATTCTGCAAAGGGAAATTAATGGGAAAGGAACTTTTTACTGTGGACTGTGTTCCCTTGTAAATGAAAAATGACAGTAATATGCTTTCATTCAATAATAGAAGAGAATTCAGTAAAGTAGTTTGGTATGATATACTGGAAGACGCGTCAAGCCAAATGTGTGTTCAGCGTATGTGTGTGTGTTCATGGGAGCAATTGTCTTCAAACACAGAACTTCTGGAGCTAAATAACAGTGGTATGAGCTAAATGCACATTACTGACTGCTCAAGAATAGCAGAGAAATCCTTGCATGAGCCAACAAACACTATGCATTATGTTGTAGGACAAGACATGTGACAACATCTGAATTCCATCTTATTTTAATGAAGTGAATCTAATAGGTTTTACACTTAAGCAACATCCAGCAACATCCAGCAGTATATGAATACACAAAAACTG